AAGACATGGTGTCAAAAAATATCTGAAAAAGTTTAGCCGACAAATTGCTTTGCATCAGCTGACACCGACTTCGAAAATATCTGATTAAGTAGGTACCTTAGTAAATGAAAACCCTCGTTCAGTTATTTTTTACTTTTAAATTATTGGAAGTCGGTTTTTTACTTTCTTTTTTGAAGTCGATTTATTTTTTTAAATCATTTTATATTTCAATCATTACTTACAGTGTAATGAATTTAATTACGAAAAAATATTTTTTGGGTTTTAAACATAAGTTATATAAGTTGAATAAATAATTTGTTTGAAAAATATTATCACATCTAAATGTGTTTTTAGGACAACTAAGGCACATTATCTCAGTTTGCTTTATAAATCTCGTACAAATAAGGAAAGCAGATAAAGAAATAGATCATTATTAGGAGTTCCGTAATACATGCCATGAAATTTTTGTTATATCTTCTACATCCATATATGTATATAAATATAGTTATTGGTATATGTGGCTGTAACATTCAGGCAGCTGTCTCGTATTCATGCGATCAAAATAACATGCTTTATTCGGCATTACCTAATACTCGTAAATTGAGGACTTTATAAAAAATTAAATGTATGTAAAACTATAGCAAAATAACCCTTCGGATACATACGACCACAGGAAATAGAAAGCTCATGATTTTATTTACATTATTAGTAGGGTATGTTGATGCCCCGCCGTTGTCTATTGCTACGAGTATTGTTATTTAGGTAATTTGATAGTTACGTTTTATTGGCATAGATATGAAAAAAAATGTCTTTTGTAATAAATGTTATATTTTTTTCTTAGGATATTTTATAATCATCAAATTTTGTAGAGAACCCTTTTAAAAAAAATGGAGTATTAAGAAGAACCTTATCAGTTATACAATGTTCTTGCATGTCGAAGATAGCGCGGAAGTACGCCTGCGACATTGCAAATGAATTAATTTTGTAATCGTCATACAAGGAATTGGAACAAGTTCCTAGGCTGAGTTCTAATTAGGAAGTTGATATTTAAAAAAAATTATCATTATGTCAGTTCAGTCCTTGTCGTGATAGTGGTTTGACTATTTTTTCAAATGTTAATTATTTTTATATTTTAAGCATTTTTTTTAATGTATTTCTAAGTTTTAGTGAACCGTTATTTTTTATTTATGAAGAATGTGGAGGTAGGTACTTTCTTTGTAAATTATTTACTTTAATAATTTATTTACTGTACATACTTTTACGTATTTTAAATACTCTATATTACAATAAAATGAGTACAAGTTCATTTCATAAACCTTTATTTAATCTATTGTTTTTTTCTGGGTCTGTCTCGAATAGGAAGTAACTGTGTAGGTCTGAAGGCACTTTCATTAAACTAGATGCTCGTAAGACCCAGTTGCATTTGATTTAAAGAAATAACAAGTTGAAAGCCGAAGTCCAAGTCTGGACGGTATTTTATAAAAATGAGTAACTTCTTTATGCCTACTAGTGGTAGACAGACTTGGGATTTTGATCTCTACTTGCATTAAACTAATTGATATTAGAGACCGTGTCTAATGAAACTTAAGATTTTGTAAATTATATTAATAGACAGTGGTAGCCCAGTGGTAACGCGCTTGCTTGGGAATTGGGTTCAAATCTTCGGGTCTCGCGGACATGTGAAGTCCGCCAATCCGTACTAGGCCTGCGTTGTAGATGGTGCTGTGGCCTGTTCACCTTCATAATGAGGAAGTCTCGTACCCAGTAGCGGGATGTAAATGTATCTTTGTATGTATTTTGTTAAATTAATTAGAACTGTTCTTTTAAACAAGGGCCAGCTTCTTAAAAAGTTTTTGAATGTGCATTAATCAATTTGGGACGTCTTTCCTTTGAAAACGGGACCTACGCCATTTTCGCTTCCCATTTTTATAACTTTCCCTGTTCTTCTATATTGCTCAAGTTGTTTGACGATCGTGGTGATCGCAAGAGTTTCATTTATTTCTTATTATCAAAGAACTAGAAATGAATATGATAAACTAAATTATGACATTGTTTTGTGATTCTGATATCGTTGTAGTTAGGTAATCTCTCTAGCACGTTCTTATATTATCATATCAGTGGTAATTTATTGGTTGTAATACAGATATTATCAGCTGCATTATTATTTATTTGTTTAAAATGTAGTATTTGATTTATGCGTGCACGAAGATGACTTTGTAGACTGTCTTAATGGAGACAAATATTGATAAACTAATTAACCTAGCTACGAAAAGAACTATATCTAATTTGAATTTGGAAGAAAAAAATATACTGCTTCTTTAGTATTCGCGAATATTTCACATTTTTAATAAATTAAAACGTCGGTAACGAAAAACCAAAATAAATTCGCGAAAAAATTTGAAAATTATGTTTAGAAAAAAATATATCAGGTTTTAGATGCAATTGTCTCTGAACGCTAGGAATATTTTTATAAATATTCCTTTCCACCATTTCCAGTGTTTCGCTAAATCTTTATCGTTCTTAGAGTTCCGTACCCAAAGGGTAAAACGGGACCCTATTACTAACACTCCGCTGTCCGTAAGACAACAAACGTGATTTTTTTGCCCGTTTTTGCTCATAATTGATAACGGCAACAGGATAGACGCTTAAAATATTCAGAGAATATTAAGTTATATATTCACTTTAAAAATAAATAATTAAATTAAAATAAAAAAAATATGTAAGAGGAGCTCCCATACAACAGGCATGATTTTTTTGCCGTTTTTATAGATAATGGTACGGAACCCTTCGTGCGCGAGTCCGACTCGCACTTGGCCGGTTTTCTTTTATCCTAGTAAAAGTATCCCAGAGTCCGGAACTATGTTGCGGAGTATTTCAATTAATTTCAGAAATAAATCGTGACTTTTCGTAATCAGCCGTAATTAACTCGTGATGTTTAACATTTTTAAATCATGTAGCAATGGAGTTGCGACAGAAATATACATATGTACATGTAAATGATACTCGTCACATTATAATTTTGAAATATTTTTTAATAATATAATATATATAATAAATTATTCTTTATATATCTTATCTGACGATCACTATTCATTTATTCGTCAAGGACCAAAAGCGTGGGTAAGTTATTTGGTGTATACATACTAAAAGTTTCAGTTCTTTTTTGTTTTTAATTCATATATACATTGTACATATTTATTTTAAAGTAAGATATTTTTGTGTTTTTTTTTGTTGTAAATGTTTAGGCGCCAGGGTCGTATTATGTAAAGTTTAAATACAATCATCAATATTTACACTTGACCTCATTTTAAAATATGATGTTGGGTTGAAGTTAATTTACATTTAGACATATGACATCGCCATATGGCAAATACAATATATGAGAAACACAATGTAGAGTCAATATTTATTCAGCATCTTATAGAACGCGGTCAAACTAAACGTTAGTTCGTAAGTTTGGACCTTTTATGTCGTTGGTTATAATATTATATACATAGATCTGTACATTTTTAGGCACAACAATTAATTTCTTAACTTATTAATAAAAGTTCACTCCGGGTCTCGTGAAATCGCATAATTCAAATCGAAATATTCTAAATATGTAATTGAGTTCGTCGTTATCGTTGTATTGTAATAGAAACCTTATCATAATATATGATTCACTATATTATTGAGAATTTTATAGAACTGCGGTCGACGGCCTGGAGTCAACGACCTTTGGCTATTTAGGTATACATAAATGCGTACATAAAGAATGACCTAGTTTCTGTATAATCTTAAAGTTTATTTGACCGTGGAGATATGTTTATTTTTAATATCCGCCTAAGGTATTAAATATATATATATATATATATATATATATATATATATATATATATGTATATATATATATATATATATATATGTGTGTGTGTTTAAAATATTTTATTTTGTTTGGGAAACACACAGTATTTTATAACAAGTAGGCACATAACGAATAAAATATTATACATACCAGCAATGGCAATATGATGTCAAAATAGCTGTTCGGAATTTAATAGTCATATTAATCGATGAGGTTTTATGATCCAGAAAGGTGAGGGGAGATGTCGAAAAAATATTTTGATAAGTTCCTGTGTGTGCATGATACTAATCAAGAAAGAATAAACACTTACTGAAGACAATAAGTAAATATTATTTTGCAGATCAGTCTGTTTATTTCTCAGTACAAGATCTCGATAAAATATAATATTTTACTAGTTTATGTAAATAATTATATATCATTGTTTTAGTTTAGTATGCCATCGGAAAAACATTATCTTTACTAGGTTCAGTGTAAATATGTACAAGGTTGGATTTTGGATTCTAGATGTCCTACTAACAAAACCCGTTATTTAATAAGATAATGGGTATTTACATAAAAGAAAACATTTAAATATTCCACTCATTGAGTAGCTTTTAAATATTACATTCAAAAATCAATACAAAGTGCTAAAATAGAAGATTATGAGTATATTGATGTGCTTTTTTAGTAATTATTTTCGACAAATTATATAAAACCATAATTAATACATAATTGGAATGGAGGATTTAAGTACGTCATAATCCATAAGCCATTTAGATAAGTGAATAGTGTGCTGTGTGGACTATTAGTTAATTGGTGACGTAAATACTGATTAATGATATTATTGTTCTAGTTGCCGGCTGCAGCAACGTTTCTGGCCGGGTATGGAGCAGCCGTCGACTTCGCAACACGACTGATATAGACACCAGATGAGGGAGGCTGCGTGATCATGTTATGACGACAACCCTCAGCAGAACAACTGGAGTCATCAAAATAATATTTTTCTTGCAAGCCAGCATTGTTCGCGAGTGATAACGATAAAGTGTCGCGGTCTTAACTAAATCCTTTGCGTCTGTTTTCGTTAACCGATAGCGTTGATATCACACAGTGTAAGATCGCGGTAGAGCCACGACGTATCGCTCCTACGAGTGTAGTGTTTGTTTTATTCGAATATATTGAATGTGCTTTTTTGGCTAAAATGCGTGCAGATTTGTGGTCTAGTGTGGCGACAATTGGTTGGGTGGTCAGTATCGTTGGATGCCACACTCCAGGCACTGAGCTCGAGTCCGTGAGGTATGGGCCTACCGAAGACAGATTCGGAAGCGATACGTACACCGTCGCCAATATTAATATTACTTATGAAGATGAACATGGAGTACTTTATACTGAGACATCTGAGGTAAGAAAATATATATTTTGCTTTTATATTGAAGCTAAAAATTCGAATAAAATGGGGCTACAAAATGTCAAACTACAATTGTTGAGTAATAGAAATTTTAAAAAATTTATGGAAATTAGATATTATGATTCTATGACATAAATCGTAGTGTCATAGAATCATAATATGTAATTTTTGCAATTTTAATATAATTTCCAAAATTTTAATTGTAGGCGTTTGAAGAATGTCATTATATCTAAGCCCCAATGTTACATATTTATACTTACGACAATTTCTACTTATTTATAACAAAATTCATTTTCATTTTTAATCATTGGATAACTAAGTAATCGCAAAATTTGCATTTTTTTTGAACTAGCGGCTCACCCTCGCTTCGCTCAGGTTCGCTTCTACAAAAAGAAACGCAAATATACCCTACGGGAATCGAACATTTTTCCGGGATAACAAGTAGCCTACGTGTTATTCTAATGTATGAACTATATTATTTTAAAGTTTCATTAAAGTCCATTCAGTAGTTTTTGCGTGAAAGAGTAACAAACATCTATACATATATCCAGACATCCATACATCCTCACAAACTTTCGCATTTATAATATTAGTAGGATTAGCAGGATGTAGTTATAAATGAAATAAGACAAAATAAAGAGGGTAACATATAAAATATAATAGCACTTAATAATAAATGCTTACTCCACCTATCTTTTTCATCATTTTAATCTGCTGTGATATTTTGTTTTATTATAACAGATTCTGTTATTGATAATAAAATTTAACTCTGATATAATATATACCTCAGGCCTACATTACGACAGGTGCTTTTGCATCCTTTTTATTTTGTTATTGGACAAATTTTGTTTCTTTTTTTAATAATTAAAATACTTTGGTATCTTTTTAGCTCAACTTAGTTGTACATAAATAAATTTGCGATAAAATTACCTTGAATCATCTATCAGTTCCTGTCTTTCGGTGACATTGTGCAATACGAGATATGAGAATGAGTCAAAATTTCCATAAAAGTAATGTTTTCGGATAACAATTTAAAAGTAACCTGTATCGAAAGTAATAATTAATTCGTGTTTTGAACTAAAACTGTGCCGAGCATTCATATTTTTTTTTACATTTTATTCCTCGAGATCTGCACTTTTTGTACCAGTATGGATTCATACTCACACATACTCATTCCTCTGGAAATCAATGGGTATAGCACATTATCTGTAGAAAAAAAATCTATATACATATACTTTTTTCCTGCGTTGAAGAAGGACAAACCAACTAAAACCTTTATAATAATAATAATAATTAGTAAGTTAACAAGAACATATCACATTATCAATCTATACATATAATAAAATTGTAACCAAGCCGAATCTGTACATTAAATATTTTTTGGAAAGTCTTATTGAAATAAACATCATTATCGATACAGTGGCCGAATCTATAGTTTTTAGATTTTTCGTCTGTCTGTCTGTTTGTTACCATATCACGGAAAAACCACTGGAAGGATTTTGATGAAATTTGGTATGGAGATAGCTGGTTATCCGGGTCAACATATAGGATACTTTTTACCGCAGGAAAATATCTCATTTCTGAGAAAAAATACAAAAACTGCAATGTAAGAGTATACTAATATGTAAAACCTAAGAAATTTGGTTTTTGGTCATCAGAACGCGGGCTGAGCCGCGGGAAATGCTAGTTATTAATATATAATATGTATTATTATATAGTTATTAATATATAATATTGCATGTGCAACGCTTTAAAATATGATTTTTTTTGTATGTTTTTACGGCATAATATTTTAATAAAATGATGTATTTTGATAGATACATTTGTCCATTTAAGTTTGAATTTTTAGTACTTAATTAATACATATATACCTTCTGTTTTTATTAAATTATATATTCATGCGCCCTGTCGCGTCATAATATTCGTGCTTACTTTATATTTTATGGTTTTCGTGATTCCTTTATTTGTGCGTAAGACGTTTAGATAGTAGATAACTGCATTTGTGTACCAAATGACCTACTTCTCGCATAGCAACTTATACTGCAAATTGAATACTAAGGTCATTTGTCTTGAAAAAAATATATTTATATGCAATTGGATATTGAAAATATTATATAGATGTTATTACTTTTTCAAAGTAATAAGCTTTATTAGAAGTTAGATCTATTCTATTACATACAAAAGGTTTACATTTTATCGTTTCCTTGCGTCAATTTTACAAAAATCATAGTATCCAACGTATGTTACATGGTTTAATTAAAAAAAAAACCGGTTTATTTCGGTAATGTAATGGTTAATTCATCGCTCGTTCTTTAACCGGTTAATGAAAACGAACGGTTAAGTAAATCAAATTGCAATTATGGTTAACAGCTTTTATTAGAGAAAGGTTGGAGTTCGGTTTTAATACCGAAATAAGCCGGTTAATTTATTCATAAGTAAGGAACTTGCATGCATCCTTCTTCTAAGCCATTCACCATTAGCAAAGACGCGCCAAATTGCAAAACGCAGAAAAACTTATTTTAACCGGTTAATTTTGTTCATGGAACCTAAATTCTTCAAAACCATTCTCCCGGATTTAACCGGTTAAATAACGTAGCCAAAACCTTAAACCGAAAAGCCTTTCGGTTTGGGGTTTTTGTCGAAATATACTACTAAAAGGCAACACGTTTATTGTTACGTCATAGTCATTTTATCATCGTAATAACATTAAATAGTTTGCATATTTTAGGATTTATAGTATCTATTGTTTCGAATTCGTGAGAATATTATAAGAATAACTTCAATGAATTTTGCAATAAAAAGGCGTAGGTATTTAGTACTTACTACACGTATTCGTGTAATTGAGATCGACAGACTTCAAACATTTACCTATTATTGTACTTAATACATAATTTTAGTAATCTGTTTCACTTTATATTATAAAACTAGCGACACACCCTCGCTTTGCTCGGGTTCGTCCCTAGCTTGCGGCCCAATACAAACTTTCATTCCCATTTTCACCCCTTTAAGAGATGATTTCCGGGATAAAAATCGGGATAGGTATCCGATGTCCTTCATCTCCACATAAAAAATCACGCCAATCCGCCAAGCCGTTTCGACGTGAAAGAAAGACAAACAAACAAACAAACACACTTTCACATTTATAATATTAGTATGGATAGTATAAACTAGTTAGTAATTTTATTACTAGTTAGTAATATTAATTGAACGACTCACCGGTGGTCAAAATAAAAATAAATATATAATAACAATTTGTTTACGATAGTTTAAATATCAAAGTCAACGATCTTCGTGTGCGACTTTGGCGAGTGTCCAGCCGTACGTAAGCCGATAAAGTATGCATTCGTAAATAACAATAAAACCATACTACTAATATATTTTTTGTATCCGGTATCGTTGCTCCATTTCTATTTGCTTGATGCTATTTTGAATGACTACTCTCTACTCTATATTTTATACATTACTAGCATTGACCGCGGCTCCACCCGCGTTCAGATGACCAAAAACCAAATTCTTAGGTTTTGCATATTAGTGTACTCTTACATTGCAGTTTTTGTATTTTTTCTCAAAAATGAAATATTTTCTCGCGGTAAAAAGTATCCTATATGTTGACCCGAAAATACAGAATGTACAGATTCGGCTTATTTACAATTTTATTATATGTATAGATTACTATTACTTAATCTTGGGTGCATTTTTAGGTGCCAAGCAGAAGCTTATTTCTACTCCAGGTCAGTCTATCTTGATATAAAATTTCTTCAAAATCTGTCAAGCCCTGTGTCAGCATTATGGAATAACAAACATACACATACAAATTTTCGCAATTATAATTATAATCCGACATACATAATACATATGTATATCCCTTACGACAAGAAACGTAACCAGGGACGTTTATTCCGTTGCTTTTAATCTCTTCATATGGATAGTGTATCCTTGGTGATTCCCAGACTTTAAACTTGCCTTCATTCCTGGAAAATACTTGTCTACATGATCACTCTTAAATTTTGAACTAATAAGTAACACCGACTCTAAATTACAAGTACCTAATCCCTTGATCTATTATTATTCAGAATAACCAAATTAGTTGTTATCTTTCTTTTGTTCTTTGCAAGGAAATATAGTGTGAAATAAAATAGTTTTCTTATGTTTTTATGACGTTTTTATCATTTATTATGAATGTTATTATGAATAGATCTACTCTTGCCTAAAAGTCAAGGAAAAAAGTTAAATATCTTGCATGGTCAATTCGTCGTAAAATTTAACCTAACATAAAATTCAAAGCGCTCTGCCACCTTCAAATGTTTAGTTAAAAAAATGATAATTAAGTTTTACATCTTTTATGTATATATTTTAAATTAAATGAATACTTAAAATTACGAATAAGTAGGTACTTAAGCGTGGAATTGCAGCGAAATACACAATATATATAAGTAAATTATACTTAAACATACTACTTAAAATGTAAATTTAAATCTCAACATACCATTGGTGTATATAAGAATCTCTACATATGAACCATTGCATTGAGATAAGTGAATAATAAATACATAAGTAAATGTAGGTATGTTTGGAGTTTGAACTCTATGCGATTATGTTTTATAAAGCAATTTTTAGTTTTTATTGCTATAGGAAGTATGTAATAACATAGTTTTTATTTAATATTAAATGTATACTTTTATACAATTCTGGATCACTATTAGGTAATTCTCATTAAAATGTCATATGTTTGTTATTTTATTTTAGTACATGATAAAGGTTCCCTTGTTCATCATCATAAGAAACACGAGTTCAGGTGGTCTAGCTGGTTTCGTCTTCTAACAGTTCTGAGTTGATTGACCTTCTCACTTTATATTTTAAAGCTCCTATATACCTAAATGTACCTATATATACCTAAATGTACCTTTATTCCAAAATATTACATTTTTTATTTCCAAAATTGCTGTTTTAGATATTGCTATCCGTGCTAATGAAACAGGATTTTGCTACTTGTT